GACCAGATGTTTCCCCAGAAGTTCAAGATTGAGATTTAATCCCGCCAGTTGAACGACGTTTATATGTTTCCACGATTTTATTGTGACCCCTTTCCCTTTGATATTATTTTTCCAATTTTAAAGTCATACGATAAGCCTCGTCAGTTTTGAGTTGATCTTGGAATATTGTTCGAGCATGATTAGTTGGCAATAATTTTCCTTTTATTTTCTCCTTCATTCTTTCCCAATTTTGGACTTTTTCTTTTCCCCTTCTAAGTCTATTATTTTGAAAGTTTTTTCACCAGGTTAAAGCGTGACCAGAAAGTTTTAAGCCATCAAAATGAAATTTCTTATCATCAGGTATTTCTTTCCACTCAAAAAATTGATCTATCTTTTCTACCCATTCACAAAATTGATCATATTGTAGCTTACCCTCAAAGTTAGGAACATCAATTTTAATTCCATAGTCCCAATTTCTTTGTTGCCTATGACGATTTCTAGGAGCCTCTTCTTCACTTTCAAAAGTTTGATCATTAGGATTAGTGTTAGCATTGTTAACATTCAAGTTCTCAATTGCTTCAGATATGATATTAATCTGTTGTTGCAAATTATTCAATTATTGCATAAGGTTTTGCCAATCAGGTGGATTATTAGCCATTTCAGAGAATAGAAAAGATTCGCCAAGTAAAGCCAATAAAAAAATCCAAATCCACCAAGAATGAGAACTTGCTCTGATACCAAAATTGATGTATGCAACTTGAAGCAAAACACAAAGAAAGAACACCAAAGAGAATCAAGACTAGCTCTTTAGGAATTTAAGACACCACTTGGAGAACAAAATAGGCTAAATAAACAACTAAAATTCAAAATAGAGAAGAAGCGATCATCCAACAAACCAAAGAAAAAAAAGTTAGCAAAATAAACAAACTAAAAACAAACAAACGCTATCCTCAGAACATCCTACAAGAGGACTCCTCACATGCACCGATTGTAGGAATATATATATTTCAGATAATGTTTAGATATGCAAACCAAAGGGTCCACCACTGCAAATGGGTCCAACGTTCTACCAAAATCCTCCAACAAATGCTACCAAAGCAGCCAACAAATCCACCAAAACAGCCAACAAACTTTACCAACGGAACTAGAAGAAAGATACAGGTGGAGTGGAACTTGTGTAGAGAAGAAAGAGATTATAAGCCCAGACGAAGGGTGGGAAGGAACTCGGAAGTATTCCCTATAGGAGAAAGAAGATGGAACAAAGCTCGCAAGTTATTCCAAGAAGAACCCGCAGGTTATAACAATTTTGCTCTCAATATTCACCAACCCATTTCATCTCAAATCATTTCATATATATAGGCAATAAAGGGGAACTAAACAACACAAAAAAATACTTCAATTCCACTCATAAATGGGGAGTTGAAAAGCCAACTGTTTTTGTACAGAAATTCCAAACGGCACAACAAACCACAAGGGAAAGCCATGGTTCCAGCAGCCAAACACAGGAAACCAGGAGATAATTCTCGGGTCCAGTAGGAGATCATTTCTCGGTAAAAAGGGGGGAAGCCTCAATAGTAAAGGGGGCAGAGAACCGAGGGGTCAACAGTAACCAAACAGGCAGCAGTAAAATCGTGGGAGAGAAAACCAGCAGAAAAATTGCAGCAGCCCAAGAGTCAAAAGGAAGGTGAAAGAACAAGTTTCACTCACCAAATCTAACTCCCTACTCATTTAATTTCATAAATAAACATCAGCTCATAATGAGCTACACCTTCACTTGATAATAATGAGCTGGCACCACTAGAATTTCAACAACTAAAGCTCAAATAAAAAACAGCCAAGGCCCACCCAAAACCAGCCAACTTCCCCAAGGACATGATGAACCCCAAAACCAGCAAACCCAAGGTAAGCATAATCCAAACCAATTCCTACCATGATAATAGGATTTACCACCATCATTGGATAGCATATAAATAAAATAAAAAATATAAAATATAACTAATATTGTTGAAAACAAAAATAATGCAAAAATTTAAATGCATTAAATGATCACTAAAGGGGACCTCCATAACCATGATTGGTTGTAGGAGCTTTACAATATTAAGAAGAAGTGATCAGCAATATTCAATAAAAATTATTTTAACATTGACATTCTTTCAACACACCATAGTGAGCCCACTAATAATATGTTTCATGTTATTTCAAAGCCAACAAGTTTTATAACTGATTATTTTATGAGCTTAGAGAATGTGATAATGACTTGACGTATGAATGAATATGATGGAGACTGCATGAATCAGACAGGACAATAAATTAATTGACAAAAAATAAAAAACATGTATATGAAAAATATATAATTAGTGATGACATGCCCAATACATACAATAAATAAATATAAATGATTAGTAAAGGCTGAGGCAAAGCTGATTCTTCTCAGTTAGCAAAATTGCAAAAGCATCAATATGATTGTTATATAGGTACTTGTTTATTATTAGTTCATTAGTTTTACTCTTATAAACAATGATGTTCCCAGCAATAAAAAACATATAAGCCCCGAAAAATTTTAAAAACATAATTAAAACTTACTGTCATTATATTTCTGGAGACAACTATCTATGATTACCTGTATTTTTTCACTTATCATCCTTCTTTATGAAAAATTTATTTTTGTTAGAGCTGGTGTGGGAATGACTGTTATTCCCTTATTTACCTTAATAATCACAGTTGCAACATACAGTTCTTCTATAGGCGCAAGTTTTTTAACTTTTTTTTTTTGCCCTTCTTACATTCTAAACAATGGTGTATGGGATCTTCACTAAAATATTTCTTAGATCAGTCCTTTGTTGCATCCCAATTATTATGCCAGTGCCACAAGTTGTGGTAAAGCCCCTATCCCCGTTATCTGTCTAATCTTTCAATGCTTCATGGCTAGCATCTTAATTATTTGTGACAAGATCAAATCGATAATTGGGACATTGCCATCAATGTCATCTGGGGATTTACAGATGTTGGGGCTTGGGTTTCCTCAGCAATATACAATAATATTATCACCATTAATTCATCTACAATATAATTATGCATTATCTGTTAATTGACAACTAATATTAAATGTATATCTGTTAAAATATTGTAGATGAATTAACAGATATTTTTCATACGAATTAACAGATAATGCATAATTATCTCAAACATATATACTTGAGGACATTTCCATAATAATATTTTGTTGTCTCTCTTGCCTGATAAGCTTTGTACGTAGGAATGTTCTCAAGTATAAACTTCTCAATGACATCATATTTACTTTCTAGCTGCTTATGTTCAAATACATGATATTCTAATACAATCAATCACCTTTCAAGCAGCTTAGCCATTCAACCTTCACTAACATATTATGTAGAATTTTGCATTATGATATAATCTTGGTGATGGCTTGTTTAAGGCTTTAACCATTTTGCTTCCTTTGTTTCTGCAGGTTGAGAAGGTTGCTTCTTTTTCGCGGGTGTGAAGTGTGTTTTTGTTGGTGTGGGGGGGGGGGGGGGGGGGGTTAGGGATCTAAGTGAGGTAAGAGGTGAAAAAATTAGAATGGGCGTGGGGTGGTCTGGGAGTTGAAGTTGGATGAATGTGTGAGGTGAATGCAATGTTTTCTCAGGGGAATGAGGGGGAATTCTTTAATAATGTTCTTTTCTCTCTAGTGACTTATTGGAACGTATGAAATATTTGCATAATAATATTTATCATAATGACCTTACAGAAAACTCAAGTTCTCCCTGCATCAACATGAAGTGAGAAAAAGCATGAGCACCTGTACATCTTGAAGGTCAGCAAATAATTCAGAGAACTCAACATCGTTGTACATTATCTCACTATCCCAATGAAGAAAATGAGGTATGGAGTTATTATCCACTGGTGCATGGATTGACTTATGTTATAGAAATCAAATATATATTTAATGCACAGAGGTTGTTAGATAATGAAATAAATTCCTACAATGCATAGAGGTTCTAAAATGTTTGATGCACTCACAATTACAATATGTACAAAGCCATACATATATCTCAGTGGTTTGTATGTCACAAACTTCCTAACAATCTCATTAAACTCAGCCACCAAGATATTCCTAATAGATGCTAGCCAATTGTAAGATGTAAATTGATCTACATTATGTGCTACAAAGGATCCTAGTCAGGATTCGATAGTTATGTGCTGGAAAGAATAGGTTGAACAATAAAAAAATGATAAATTTCTTCACAAGTTAGGGGAGTAGAGTTGATTTGTTGAGATTAAGCATCTTATGTTTGATATCAGTTGAAGATTTCCCAGTGATTCTCGCACTTTCCAATTTGAATGTAGTTCCACAGTTGGGCAGTTATATGATCAGAGCAACTTCATCAATAATGAATGAGAACTTACGCTCCTTGTTGACAAAACACTGCATCCAAATATCCCACATTGACAACAACATGTGTACTAGAGAAATATTCAAATGGAAGCGAGATATCAATAGAAATTGATTTATGTGCAGTTGGTTTAGTTTATACATAAAATCTTGACAAAAAGTATCAACCAAATGATTGTAGATATTTCTGAATATTAAAGTTATGCAATGAAAATTTATATTAGGAACATATCCCTACAGAATTAGGTGTAATCGTTAAGAATACTACGTTATACATAACAATACATAGTACTAAAAGTACATAAAATGAACATAATTTTACTAAAAATGTTCTATGAACTTGAGCATGTGAAAGGACGACAAATCACAGCAGTACACAACAACGATACACATCACTAACAAGTATAAAAAATGGAATAAAACATCATTAAGAATGCTCTTTTAACTTGATCATTGAATAGAAAAAAGTATACAGTGGTACACAGCAGCACACAACAGTATAAAAATATACAAAACCTATTTCACACACACATTCAATAATACACATCTACGAGAAAATATTTTAGATAAGATAAGTAAAAAAAAAAAAAAAAGATAAAGAAAAGTTATTACGTGGCATTTACAGAATAATATCTCCTTAGACGCACACGCTAAGTCCGCGGGAGGCTTCCAGTTCAAGCACAACGCCCAAGGACGCTCGACCAATCACTTTAAGCCCATTACCGTTCTTCCTCACGGCCGGCGGCAATGCCGGAATCCGACGAACAGCATGATCTCTCCGACGATTCCGACTATGCCTCTTCCCAGCAGCAGGTAAAAGTTAAAACCCATTCCGTGCTACCGAAGCCCTAGCATCATTACGATATATTTATTAGAATTTTCTCCGTTGATCTTTTTTCTCGTAGGGGTTTGGCGGCAGCGTGTACTCCAAATCGGCCGAGGCCCGTGAATTCGACGAGAATGATGCGTGCGAGACTGTGTACTCGAGGGAAAATGTCGCAATCCACCCAACGCAGAACCCGGCGGAAAGAATCAGTGGCCAGTTGCGTCTCATTAAGCAGCAATCATCCCTTTTTCTGGTACTGTAATTGATTGGCGTTTTATTAAAATTTATGCATGTCTTTATTTTTTTTACTATGGTTATTTGATGCCTTTAGTTTGAGTGAAGTTGTCTATTTTGTTCCAGCGTGGATGAATTAACAGCTATGTCTCATAACAATTAACAGAAAACATGCCAACACCAACTTAAGAAATTATATATACATAATGTTTATACACATAAAATAAAGAACAGCGAATTCATCATTCGACGAGTAGATGGAATTTAGAGTCAAATGATTAGGATGAAAAATTAGATAGATCCAAAGTTACATGTATATAAGTTATGAAAAGTAATTTGCAAAGTATAGGGTTAACACCTTATATATCACCAAACATGAATGAATGAAAAACAATGATTTACAAAGCCAACCCCAAATAATTGGGATGATGCAAATGATGATGATAATTCTTTTCTAGTTTTTGGTAGCCCATCTAAGGGGCTGTTTGGTTGTCTGAATTAGGAGGATAAAGTAAAACAATTGCATGTATTTACTAAATTCGGTTGTTTGATTTATTTTGAGCGGGACAAAAGAAAATCCTCCAAAGCATTAGGCGTGTATTACAACAGGTCTTTCTAGCGAAATAGAAACCCGCTCATATTGAGCGGGTTATAAAATCCCTCGATGAAATCCTTCGCATCGTCGTTGCTGTTCGGCTTCATTGCTTCGCAGGAGGTGTAAGATTGCACGAGTGGCTTCTTTGGCTCCTTCGTTCTTGTTCGATTTCGCTCCTTCGACGACGTTCCCTTTTCCTTTTGGATTGGAAGTTGCGACATTTTGATCAGAAGTAAGGACAGGAGCTCGCTAGCTGTGAAGGTAACTTTCTACCTTTCGGCGGGCATGGAGAATGAAATAAGCTGCGGCGAGAACGAGTATAGCGAATATTGTGAAAAGGGGAGGCATTGAGAGCTTTTGAGGCGAAAAGGAGAGGCATTGTGACGGGGCACTCTGCGATCCGGCGTGGACGACGACGGATGAGTGGAGGTTAATCTCCCGCTCACTCCTCCGCCACCGTCTATGGAGCTGGTAATGTAGGCTCCAGTGCCTCGTTTGACCCTGTGCTTCTTTGCGCCGATCCACCACCGCCCATCCATCTCTCAGCCGACCAACTTAAACACTGTTCCGAGGCCCTAGTTGCCCTCAAGAGGAAGTTCCGGATCCCGGGAAAGATTTCCCTAGAATTCGATCGCCTCCAGGTCATCCTATTATAACATACATTTTTTTGTTTCCCTGGCGTTTAGGTTTTGGGATATGGCTGTATAGGACTTCTTCCCTGTCCTCAAGCCAGACCAACTGTTTAAAGCTTTCTAGTGTGGAAATTCATGGCGTCGGCAGAGGTGGGAGCTACTCGCTTGGGAAGATTGGCGGGGCTCCGACGTCGATGTCGTGGCTTGGGGTTGATGGGTTGAGTGATGCGGGGTCGAAGAGGTCCGCTGAAGGTGAGAGAGTTTACTTTTGTTTATTCGGAGAAAGCTTTGGGTTTATTGTTTGATTTTAGTTGATATGCTGTAGGACTAGTGGTCGACTGTATTGAAGTTACATGTATGTGTTGGTTGCGTAATTATTTTTTAGTTTGGTATTTTAGGATATCAGATACTAAACTGGGGTTGATTACAGCTATTCTAGAATTTATGTTTTCATTTAGGTTAGGTGGTTTGAGTTGTTTCTTATGTCTTATTGAGGTTATGTTTATATACAACAACAACATCAAGCCTTTATCCCACTACGTGGGGTCGGCTACATGAATCCTTTTTCTCCATTGTGTCCTATTAAAAGTCAAATTCTCGTTTAAATCTAAAAAAGAAAGGTCATTCCTAATATTTTCTAACCAAGTCTTTTTAGGTCTACCCCTACCTTTCTTAACATAAGTCAAATCTAATACTCTTCATTTTCTTTAAAGCCTCTCTAACTTCAGTTTTACTAATACGCCGATAAAAACATAAATCTTTATTTTCATCTAGGGAGGTTATGTTTATATAAAACAATCAAATTATACTTAGTTTTTTTTTGGAATAGCATAAAAAGAGTATAAAATGCGTCAATAGGTATTAGGTAGTAAAGTTGAATACAAATGGAATATAAAAGATTGGTTTGGGAAAGGCAGCATGCCGGAAAGTAGGCAAGATATTCATGTAGAGGGAGAAACATTTGGAAGGATTAACGAGAATATAGACAAAAGAAGGGTTAATGGAGTTGATATCAAGTAGTTGGGATGAGGTTGAAGATGCAGATGGTACTGATCATAATTATTCAACGAGCATTTCATTCTAGATTGTTAAGTGACGAGGTGAAGTTTAGTTCAGTCGAAATATCTTATTGTTGTTAAATATGAATTATGTAGTCTCATGCTTATTGGGCGTTTTGTATCATATATAGGGCTGGGCCAAATTATATTGCTAGAAACATGCTACCTTATTATTGTTGGCTCTGTTAGATTGATTGTTTATTTGAAGGATTCATGTAGTAGTTGGTACATATCTATTTCTTTTGTATACATCATCAAAATGATTAGAGTTGTAATATTATCTCCTGATTTTTAGGGTTGAAACTTGATTGCCTAATTTTCATGCTTATTAGTGTCCATATTTGATGTTTTTGTCTCGATGGCATACTAAGGTTATCACAAGCTTTACCACACATTTCATATTATTGGTAAACTAAATTGAAGTTAAAAATGGTAATCTTAGAATGTTAAACTCTTAATTTTATTTTCTCGACCACCCTCTATAGAATTAGTTACATGCATGAGTAGTAATCATGCATCTCATGGTCTGGCTTGAGGACAGGGAAGAAAGCTTTAAACCGTTGGTCTACAATTTTCTCATGTAGATTGCAAAGCTCAACAGATTATTTACCAAAAGTTATTCTAGGTTCTTGGGTTTCAGATTTTGGACCTTTTTTATTAAGTTTATGGCCATTTCTTGAAGCCTATTGAATTTCTCCTCATTTTGTATGGCACTTTCTTCAATCCTCTTAGTTATCTATTTGATCTAAGCTAGCTAACTTTGAAAGTTTAATAAGATAAGACTAAGTTTAGCGAGTGGCGTCAACTAGCAGAAATACAACTGTTCATAGGATTGCTTACCACATGCATTCTAGCAACAGTTTTTGTAATGAAAAATATAATATCAATAAACGATGTTAACCAAGTCCAACTTACAGATGCTAACCTTATTAGGATTTAATTTTCACCACTTTTAAGTGCTTTTGATGAGGGAATCGTCAGCATTTTTTTGACACGTGTACAATCAGGAGACGCTGGAGATCGACGGCTACGATCATGAGTTTTATTTTGAGTCATTTCATGTAGTAGTTTATGTTATTTTCAGTTTTTCCGCTTTTGCCCTTATGGGTATTTGGTCGCTATTGTAGCCCAAGGGGCATTTTAGTCTTTTATTTTATTTGTCATTTGGAGGCCTGTATATGGCCCTTTTCTTATGTAATAGTTAGTTTTTGAATTCCGAGAACTTAATTCGGGTAAGCATTAATTCTATAACTAGCAAGGCTTTAACAATCTTATATTAAAATCCCCAAGCAGTTCTTGTTTCCATGCATTACGTTTCAAATCAGCTTTATTCTTCCTCCACATTGAATGGAGTGACTAGTTGCAATCTCCTTCAGCCTGGCTCTGTTTGGTGACCTGAGGTAAGCTCCAAGTAGAGTTTGGACTTTGGCTTCTTTTGGTACAAATATTTGCATTTGGCTGTTTTCCAAGAAGCTTCCCTAATTACTATTATGAGCACTCATTTCTAGTAAAAAGTAATGTATAGCCTTTAAGCTGAAGATTGTAACATAGTTTTATCTGTATCTATATCAACTTATTGCTTGGTAATTATAAATAAATTGATGTTGAAACAACATATCTTACATGAGATCTTTTTGCTTTGATCTTTTTTTGAGTTCCGTGTGTATTTTCATTAGGATACCATCCTTACAGAATGAAATTTTCAGTTGTAATTTTACATATCATAGTTTGTTGACTAACCTTGCAGCTACAAAAATTTAATGTGCATATTTTTCCTACATAGAAATATTCAGTTGCCATCTTTTATTATTTATTAAAGTTTATTGCTCATTTCCTATCAAACTTTTTCTGTTTATGTCATGTTGCTTCTTAGCTATACTTAAACAAATTTTTTAAATACCCAACAATTGGTATCAGCTGTCAGTAGAAGCTAGATCACTACAATCAATGTGACCATGGAGTTCTTTATCCATGACAAGTTGAAAATGAAAGTCTCAGACTGGAATTTTTATTTGTGGCGTTTGTTGAAAATATCTAAGTTGATTACCATGATGTATAAAAAGAAATCACCATTGTATCGAGAAAAGAGAATAATTGGATTGGTAAGTTGATATGTTGTGAAATTCTACCCCTATTGGGATAGAGTTGTGTCCTCGAGTTTTTAGGAGATGAATGTTGAAGGAAGTTGAAAGGCACTCAAGAAAGGGACGTTGAGTCCTTATTGAGGATGAGAGTCAAATGTTGGAAGATGAGGAGACGAGCAAGAGGGAGATTGTCGCACATGAGAGTTATGTTCTCTCGAGTTTTGAGGAGAACGCTGAAGGATGATGAGAAGGTGCTCGTGAAGGGGAGATCATTGTCAAGGACGAGAATTGAATGCTGGAAGATTACTAGTTGTGCCTGGGAGGGAGATCTTGTAAATAGCCAAAAATGAGGGATGCTTGTTGGAGGATGACAAGAAAGCAATGCATGAAAGGGAGATCTCTTCATTGTGGAGGACGAGATCTGCCTGAAGAGAGATCAGGAACTACTATGTCACTTGTTGTAATGGATTTCATATTCGATGAATTTAGTTAATAAAAATAAATTATAGTGTATTAATAGTTACCAATTTCTGAAAAAATGTATGGACTTTGTTGTGTATTTTAATTGATTGTTAAACGAAAACAATTAATTTATTTTGGCTAAATTAAAGAAATAATCAGGCTGAAAATTTAATTTTTTGCAAAATTTTTTGTTAAAACATTACTTGAAACATAAAAAATTTAAATTTTCAAAGAATTTTAGATTAAAAATTCTCTCTAACACATACATTTTCATCTATTGCAACACACTGTTAAATTAATACACAACATAATTTTATATATTATAATCTAAAAAAATTTATAATAAGATCGTGCAATAAATAAATACACTGATTAATATTTTATAACACCAAATAATACTAATTATTATAAATACACTGTTTTTATAAATACATTAGTTTTAATGCTAGAATAAATTATTATAAAAAAATCACTTTTACTTTACTCTGTATCTACCAAACCAAACAAGGGAAACAATTCTCCTGCGTTTATTTTGTAGACAACCAAACAAGAGCAAAGTATTCAGAATGCACTATATTTACTTTACACTACATTTATTTTACACTGCATTTCTTTTTCAAGCAACCAAACAGTTGCTAAGAGTATCTAATGCGCTTTTCACATATTCTCTACTACTGGTTATGCTGTTTTAGATACATGGCAAAATGAAATTGTAATTGTTCTTTGATTCAATATAAAAATACAAGCCCAACAAAGTATAGTTTCTTAAAGATCATGTACTCTGATATTGTACCTATACCTTGCATTTTAAGCTTCGTAATTTAGGTCATGGACCTGATGTTTGTTAATTTGGCCTACATTCATAAGAGAATAGAGATAGAATTTGATCCACTGAATAAGAAATCACAAATGCTGTACAATGGCAAGTACACTCACCAATCATTCTCAAAATTCGATTACACCCAACTTTCAACTAGAAGCCTAAAAACCTTAAGCTCAAATTTATCTCACATTAAGACACTGGCCTTCATCATGATATCTACTAGAACTTTAAGAGGTGCCTCTCTTCCTCATTGAAATCCTCCAACTACCAGGCATCCCAAGTAGATCAGAAAATTGCGAGATCTTATTGATTTCTTCAAGCCACCTATAGATTTGTTTATATACTCAAAATAAACTTTATTTTCTATGGTTGCACGTTGGTTTAGAAACCCAAGATATATAGATGCTCAACCATGCATGTTACATGAGAACCGGCTTAGGCATCAACATGCAAATTAAGAAGCCCTTGTTTCTATCTCATGTAGCTCCAGTTGTGTTCCCAATTCCAATTTCATGCCAAAATAATTCAATTGCAAGATTCATGATAGGCTTAACCCCATCTAACCCGGTTTAATGAGTTGGCATTCTTATTGGTGGCAAAAATTAATTGGAAGTCTGAAGGTGACAATGGGAGCAAAGGATAGTGGAATTTCCACTTATAAAATTGAGAAAAAAATTTGCAAAGAAACACCCATCCATTAGGGCTGAACTTTAACTTGAGCTTGAGTTGAAATCTACATTTTTTCTTTTTCTTCTTGTTAGCAATGTATAGTGGCCCGATCAAGCAAAAACAAAAATATATTGTGGCCTATGAAAAGAAGATTTCATGTACTGTTATGGAACATGGCTTCTTTGACTAGAATGAATGACTCTGCTTTAATGATGTCTTGCATGCTTGTTTTTTATATGTACGGAATATGTTTATCTTTTATAAATTCTGTGCTCTTTGGTCTTCAGTGTTTGTTATTTGCAGATTAATGTGCCTACTTTATTGTAGCTCTTTGATCCTGAATTTTGTGCTTGTATATTCCCAGCGGTGGGTACCTTACATTGATATTCCTTATAAAGAAGACTCTACAGGGGAGTTATCAAATTCAATATTAACAAAAGGTTGCGCCTTCTCCTAGTGACAAAAGTTCCAACATAAACATTTTCTTTTTTGTTTTATCCATGTGTAATTCTGTAAATTTGACTATATTTTAGTTACGTCCTGCAAAGATCTTTTTTGACAATTAATTTTACATATTGCTATGCAGATAGGCAATTGTACGCCATTAAATATTTACCATTTAGTGATGTGCATTCTGTTCATAGACACACGCCTCCTCTTGGTTGGCAATACCTAATTATTGTCCTATCATCAGGTATGTTCAACTATATTACTAGTAAGTATTTTTCTTTCACTTTTTTCTTGCTAGACTCACTGATTTTTTGTAGCTCTTTGAGATACAGAGACAAATGCATCAGTTATTATGATTTATGAAGTCTTCACATTTTGTTATATGGAGATTTTCACAGCTTTGAGAAAGTTGAAACTATACATTGAGTCCTCATTGATGAACCAACATGGGACTTGGTTTAGACTTTCAAGCCCCTTTAAGCTTTATATATCAATGTGCATGAATGCTTAAAATTGGAAATCTTGGGACTTTAGAAAGATTTCCCGCCTATATTTTGCTTAAAAAGCATTTACTAAAATTGATTTTGGGAACTTTGAGTGATTTTTTTTTTGTTTCTGTGTGGGATGCAGTTCGTCTATCAATAAAAATAAGGAAGTTTTGGTGCAATTTTCAAATGACTTAACTTGTATGTATTCTAGCAAGTCCCGTTAATTCGTGCAAGTTTTGCCAATTCACTTGTCATAATTACCTTGTACTAGTAAATCATTGCAGTGGAGGTAATTTTCTTCTTAAACAAAGTTTTTGCCTTGAACTTCTTTAGTTGCGTTATTGGATTGGCTAGAGCTGGCTTTGGTTTGCTAGATTCTGGCACCATTTTTGGTGATTTATGAGATTTAATTATCTGATTTTTGAAATTGTCTATTAACCCTTGTTTATTTTTATCATGATAACATCTCATACACATAACTGGATCCTTTTACGTCAATCCCATTGTCTTTGATTTGTTTGAATAGAAAACACAAAATTGAATATGGATCTCATATTTGAAATTTTTTTGTAGGACTTGCATATCCCCCACTTTATTTCTACAGTGGGGGTGTCCGGGAATTTCTCGTAAACCTTAAGCAACATGTGGCTATTGTGAGGTTGGTCCTTTTTGATTATTCTTTTAACATCAATCGAGTCATTGTTTTCAGGTTGCTTTAACTTGAGAAAAGCATTTTTCATAAACTATTTATGGTCAGTTTTAGAATCCTCATTCTCATTTGCACGTGGAGTTAAGTCTATTTTATGTAAAAATTTCTCCACGACTTTGAACCACTTTATCTTTTACTCTTTCTTCTTTCTAATATGTGTTTATCACTTTATCCATTTTATCTTATTAGTTCATTTTTTAAGCTTCCATTGTGTATGAGAAGCTTTCTCCAAGATTCATCTTTGAAACTATAATTTTACTAAAGTGGATGCGGCACTCAAAATCTTTTATTAAATTGAGGTTGCAAAACTAGAATGTGTTTTTATTCCTCTTGTACTACTAATATTTGTTCTTATCAGATGTAACTATATTTTGCAGGTCTGCAGATAATACAAATATCTTTCTTGTGAATGATTTCCGCGATCCTCTTCAGGTGCTCTTTCAATAGATTTTATTGGTTACTGTGCATTTCTTTGCCGGTTTAAGAAAATTATCACTTGATTGAATGTTTTTTTTTTGACATATTAAATAGTACGAATATCATATTTATTATGCAGAAGTGTTAATCAATCTACGCATAGGTTTTATCTTCTTTGTTCTTGTGAGAACCAATACTTGCACTAAAAGAAGCCAAGTTAGGTTATCTCATGCAGGACTGCACAACTTGGAAGGATCTGAGCGGCTTTTCCTCCTTGTAATTAACACATCTTACATTTTTATTGGAAGATTTTCAAGATAGCCTTTTGGCAGTGTCTCCAAGAATTATAAATTTTGATGCTTAGTCATTTGAGTCTTTAGCAAAGGGCTGCAGATCTTTATTTTAACTTAGGCTCATTCTTGGCTTTGTCCCTTTTGCTTTGCATAACTTAATTGTTGTCAGGCAAATTTTTGAGGATGTATGACAAGTTTCTATGTACCATAATTTTTCTTCACAAGTCTGATATATATTTCTGTTTATGCATTGAGAAGTTGTGGAGCTACTGAAAATTTTCTCAACTTTAATGCATTTTATGAGTGCATAATTTATGACCGTTGTCATTTATATTCACTCTCCCGTAAACATGGTCGGCCATTGTGGATATTTAGTTATTTACTAATATAAATGCATAAAAGTATAACTGAACAGTTGCCGCATCCTCGGTTGTGTGCTTTTTTATCGTTTTCTTACTGATCTGTTAGTCTGTTAATTGTTTTTCGTTATTTTTTTATTGTTGGGATTGTGTTGTTGCATTACTCTTTTTGTTCCACGTCAAAATTGGATTACTGCTATTCCATGTATTAATATAAATAATATATGTTATAGTTTAGACAAATCTCACCACATGTGATAGGATTGAGTATTAGAAACATAAAGGAATTTTAAATTCATAGATTAAGATTTAAGGTTTCTATGTTGCCAAATAATATCATAATAAAGGAGTAGTTACTACTTGTAAATGATCATTAGTCACCCATTTTATCTTTGAAGATTCACATAGCAGGAAAATTTGATGGTGAGGAGGTCTCTGGTTTCATTTGTTTTATCATCTTAAGTTTGCAATATATTGCCTAGTCCGATGCATTTTCTATATATATTGGTTAATGCTCATTGTCTAGGAATAAAATCTTCAACACCTTTCTTTCATCTTCTTTCTCCCCTATGAACCCTGCTTCAGTGAAATAAAAAGTAGAGAATGTTCTTATTGGAGGAAGCTTACATTTGTTTGATATCTGCATGACTTCTGACCTTGGATAATACCATGTAAAATGTTTGACTATCATGACATCTCAAATTTAAATCCCTTTTGATTATCTGTCATCACGCAGAGAAGCTTGTCCTCTCTTGAGTTGCCCAGGGCTATTGCTGTTTCTAAAGCCAGTCCCGCACATAATGCAACGGCTAGATATTCAGCTGAAGGTTCTTCCTATGTTGAAAGTTCTAGTGCCTCAGAATACAGTGGGAGGCACATGCCAAAGAATCATGATCCTGCTCGTGACATTTCACTTCAAGTCTTGGAGAAATTTTCTCTTATTACGAAGTTTGCTCGAGAAACCACCTCACAGATCTTTCAGGAAAGCCAAAATAAGGGTTTCGTCGCTTATGAGAAACAGCATGAAAATAAATCTTCAGCTCTGTCTGAAACTATGAATTCAGATAAACTACTTGTGTCTTCAGAACCTTTGGAGGAGGTAGCCTTTTGCACTGCTTATGCAATATATCATGAATTTTGCTGTGCTATGTTTTTATTTAGACTGAATAGTAATCTTACTATTTGAACCATTCTTTTGCCATCTAAAGTCTATACTCTTATGACTGCTATCTGGTATCTCTTAAAGATTGATTGTCTTATGTTAATCCCATGCGATGTAGCTTATCTTGTAGAGTTCTGATGATTTTATTATATAGATCTATTTAAAATAGGCTTCCGAAACTCTTCTCAGGATCATGCAGTAGCAGGAGCTCCATGTGCAATTTTTTTTCCTTTTCATAGGTTCACTTTGAAGATTAAAGAGTGGCTTCAATATTTTTTACATGGCCAAATTTGATTTCCTGTTGTTGCACATATGCGGGGATTCATCTTTCTTATAATTTCGCTAGTTTTCTTTGCCTTGAACTACTCATGTTAGCTGGATGATGTATGATCACTATTTTACTGCTTGTCAAAATATTTCATGAATAGTTTATTTTAAGTGATAGTTATTTTTTTTAAAATTGTTCTTTAATAACAAGATAATGATGATTGCACGAAGGGAAAATTACCAAGGATTGTCTGAGTACAAAGAAAAGTGCAAAAATAAAAATACACGAAAGCATAAAGCCGAAGCAATAAACATCCACTAGTATAAAAAAATAACAAAACATAAATATAACTCATTTGAACTGCCTTGCTTGAATCCTATTAAAACATGAGAGTGATGATTTTTTTTATTTGATTACAGTCCCATTTGATAAATATGATTTGTAATCTCATATCCATTAGAATGTATTGACTCGTAATGCTTTGATTAGAGTCCTCAGGATGCATAACGTCATGGTCAACTATGTCTTCATTAAGAGGAGGGAGTGGGGGAACTTTCAAAACTGGCGAAATAAATTCCAAAGACTTGCAAGAGGAAGATGCGGAGACTATTTCAGTAGGGCTGAAAATGGTTGAAATAACAATCTCAATATCTCAAGGAAAGTTGATAGGTTTCGAAGTTTGATTGCATATTTGAACTATTGATGGAGGAGCATCAACTAATGTGGGATTATGAGGGGTATGAGCATTTAAATTTCTCTATCGTACTTGAATGTTTGATTTCCTTGGTTCCATATGGACCTTACACAATAATAGAAATTAGGCTTAAAAATTTTATGAAAAGAATGAAATGGGGGAATGCCTTTAAGGGCTACCTTTTGCCAAACTCCAAAAAACTTTGAGCCAATCCACAAATCCTTTTCAAAGGCAAAGTAAAGACAATTTCAACAAAAAATTTTGCCGCATGTGGTAGTGAAAGAGGAGCAGTAGTTGTATCAATTGCAAAAGTTTACCAAGGAGTATAAATTGGATTGATTGTAGAAATGTAATTAAACCGGGAAGTCATTGACATACAAGGTATGCTTAGGAAGAGTATAATGTAAGTTGCATAGGAGGAAAGTCTTATAACAGTTTGATGAGGATTAATAATCCTATCAGAGTTGTCAATAAGCTAGTGTTGTTATAACAATAATTTGCAATTGACTTCCACGTTTGAGTGATTCAAAGAAAATTTGCCAACAATAGATAAAGAAAGTCGTCTAGCATACTTATAGATATCTTTTTCTTCTTAAAAAAAAATTGATTGCAGCCTTGGCTTAATATGATGGTGATTTAGTGGAGCTAAGCCTTGCTGTAAATGAAAAGGAAAATGTACAGATGTAGAGGGATGCAATCCCGTGACCAAAGAACCACCCACAACTTTTGCAAAAGATTGAAAATTGTGAGCCACTGGAGGAACATTATATGATAAAATGAGATTTACTTTAATTTCTACTTCAGTCAATCATGGATGATCTGTGTAGGGGTATGATGTAAAAAACGCTTTACTACTTTGGGATGTTAAAGAAAAAAGTTTATATGGATCAAGTACCTGGATTTTGATAGTTTTTTCATAAAGAACAGATTGTACAAATTACGTTTTGTATAACTTTAAACAATCTCCGAGAGCATGATTTTGTTTGTTCACAAAAGCTATGAATGATGGATATAAACAAAACCAAGGAGATCATGCCCTCTTCATAAAACGTGATGATAATAGAATTTGACGATATAATTGTCACATGTGATGATAATAGAGAAAATTAGTCTATTAAAAAAAAACTTTATAAAGAATTTGAGTTTAAAGAGTTGGTAAGGTCAAATAATTCTTAGGAATAGAGAGCAGAATAAAGCATATTTCTCTTAACAAATATATGCCTTGGATCTACTGAAAAAAACAAAAGTGGCTAATAAAAAATCTTGTGAAACTTCAACTGAACAAGGTAAAAAATTAGATATAGTTGAAGAAGGAAAAGTAGGAATGAGATAATATTAAAGATTAGTTGTAAAAAATGATCTATCTATCTCACTTCAATTTGGGCGAGCTATGTTAAATATTTGATATATTTGGAGAAATGCCCAGACAACATTCCATGGAGTTCCAAAGTTGGCTTTGTACCAGGTAAATCTGATGATATATGGACTAAAATGGTCAGTTTTGGTCATTATTTGGACTAATGATGTGATGGCCATCTCATTTGTTCCTTAGACATCAGCTTGGCTTTTTTTTTTAATGTAAAAATTGCCTTTTAATATTGTGATTGTTGCGTACTAAATTAATAGAATTTTAACATGTTCCTTGACAGTTTGACAACTCTCAGCTAGCTATGGGAGAACCCCGTCAGGATCCTTTAGACGCTGAAGAGGTTCGTATTTTTGTTCTTATTAATCTTTTATTGGTAGAATCTTTTTGACATTTAAAATAATGTCAGTGGGCATTAGGGTGCCATGGTTTGGAGCTGATTGATTTATATGCAAGTTTGTATGACTTATGTCATGCGGACAGGTGGTCATGTTTCTGCAAATGACCCATATTCTTGGATGGTCATTATTTATCTTAAAATAGCGCATGCATTTTTTTACATAGTCCATATTTAATTTACTTTTCATTTTTGAAATTTGCATTTTTTAGGTGGCAAATCTTCGATGCTTTATCTGATTTAATTTTTTACTTATGCATAGCTGTTTCTTTCAGTTGGTTTTATTTAATGAAACTATGAAATTGTCAGCCTGGATAGGGCATATGTGGCCTGTGAGGATCCTAAAAAGTTTATGTTTCAATTTTCAAGAGGGTTGGTGTATGCAGCCTTGTCCCTACATGGTTAATAGGTTGTTTTTGTTATTTGAAGTTTGAACCGTAATTGCAAGTTTTAATATAGAATAATCATTGCTTTAGGCAACCCTTCAAAGTTTATGTTGTCAAATTTCAAGTCTTCAACTTGATTTAAAAGCAGCTTTACACGTCAAATATTTTTTTATCCCCAAATGTGTATTATAATTTTCTCCTTTATGATCATTATCTCAACAACACACCCTACCATATCTGTAACCCCCATCCATGTAAGTGTGGTCTATTGATGTGAGATTTGCACCTGACAGTTAAAATTGATTCAACTAATGGAGTTACTTCAGAGGATAGAGATCACGGAGAAGGAGAAATTATGACAGAGGATGAGAGGAAATTAAGAATGAACAGTAATTCTGATAGTGAAGAAGGTGGATCCTCTTCGCATCAACACTTGGTGTTTCTTGAATCCTAGTTTTCTCTGTTACGAACTTTGCTTTATGCAGGCTAGGGCCTATAGGAAGCTAAAAAATATATAATATGTGGTTACATGAGGTATTTATGGAATAAGATATGATTTTTTGCTTCTGCCAAGGTCTAAAATTTTCCATGTAACAAACTTTGCAACGTTAGCAGTTCATTGCATTAGACTGGGGGTGAAGAACAAGATGGTCACATGTTAGCTACTGAGAGGATGACAGGTAATCTCCCAACCAATTGCTATCCATAGGCGTTATTGGGGGAATGTCTATGCAGGAGTTATTAGTTGTTGTTTAATATCACTTATCATTACAAATTGGGTAGGGACGTCCATTTTATGGGTTAAGTCTGCCCTTGGGCGCTCTTAACATTGAAAAATGAAGTAATTGACCAAATATGGCTTGTGCTTGTTTTGACCGATTGACTTTGAGATCAAAACGTGGATGCAAGTGCATTTTAGAAAGGTGGATAAATGGGAGATAAATCTACAAGTGATATTCATTCCTATTGCTTTTTAAGTTTTGTTCGCCATGGAAAATAGTGTTTGAAAGAACTTAAATCATTGTCATAGTGTTCATCTTGTGTTTGTGGTGCTTTGTTTTTATGCGATGGAGAGCTTTAACTAACTATCATCACTAATTTAGATCCTTAGGTTAAGAAAAAAAACTGGAAAATTTCATGGGAGCCTAATATCTAGTTACTTTTGCATCGCTTCCTCCCCCCACTTCTCTTATCACCATTTAAGCTCTCACCCCTTTATCTCACTATCTTACCAGCACAGAAACTAGGCTTTTGTTGGTTGAGATTTGTCTTGCTCCAAGGATGGTAGTGGAGAGTAGACATCTGAAGTAATTATGGCAGGAAGCCTCCCCTTGGCTGATTAGCTTTGCGGCTTTTATCAGGAGATTGTGTTGGGTTAGTATATCTCAGCTTGCGAAGACAGTGCCTAGAGAAATCAATGCCTCCTCCACAGAAGACCAGCAGCAGATGATTCAGTGTACAGGCTTTGCGGTTCCCCTTGTATCCTTTCCAGTTAATTTAGATACGGTGGTGTACTTATCTAATGTTAACTTGAAAGAAGAGGCTTTTGATGTCAGCCATCAACTTGAATGGAGAGGCTTTTGATGACTTCAACACTTGCTGAGGGCAACAAGATAGTAAGGAAGCCTATGTGGTGGATATAGGCTACAAATTTGAAATCACTGTCAGCTCAAATTTAAATCAAATATGTATCCACGTTTCGCAACATTTTGATAATGGCTACAAATTTGAAATTACTGTCAGCTCACAGAGGGCTAATAACTTGTCGAGTGTATTACTATGTTGACTCTAAAGATCTCATTTTAGTAAGGATGTGACACAAGTTATCTAACTGGGTGGTTTTATTGCCAAATGACACCATTAAAAAACCATTATGATGGAGCTATCTGACTCCACAAAATGACATCATTATATTACGGTCACAACCATAGTGTGAATGTTCCCCTATGTTTCAAGCTATTATGACTTGCGAATCATTGGATGCACTTGATAGGACAAAGTTTATAGTTTGATAAGGTCAACTTAAAATTATCCTCTTAGACAAACATCTCTCTTAGTTTTATAAGGTCCTCATGGACAATGCAACTTATGGCTGTCGACAAGGTTTCTTTTTAGGTTAGGTTGGGTCTATTATTTCTGTTGATTAAGTAGATCAGAGTCAATGGCAATCCGGGATGACGGAACCATGAGATTTTGATCGCATTGGTTATCATTCTCTAAACCATCCACATTAGGCTAGTAGTGGTGTTTCTCTCAATCCCAAGTTTAAATTACTGCTACTATATGCTAAGAATTTATTGATTAGTAGATTTGGTTGACAACCTCTGTTGACTTAGTAGATTAGAGTTAATGACAACCTGAGATTATGAAATCATGACATCTTGTCTGAGCTCATCACTATTAGCTCTGCCATCTAATTGAAGCTAGTGGTGGTAAATTTCTCTAAATCCTAACCCAAAATTACTGCTACTATATACCACATATTCAACACTTAATGACTAACCTTTTGAAAGTTATCTTTTGTTATCGGGAGAGGTAGTTAAGCATAAGGGCTTGCGCCTATAAGAAACCTTGAACTAGATCATAAATTCCTCGCAAAATGAGGGCGAAATCTTTTGGTAGTGTCCTGTTATATGCATTTTTTGGGTTTCATATTTTATCCGTCGTTTGATCACACCACCTAGGCTTTATTTCTTCTCTTTATTTTTATTGTCAATAATTGAAAGGAATCAACATGTACTTTCATTTATACAATTCTTTGATAGATATCGAAGTATTCGTCTAGTCCTTGCCATTTCGACATTGCAGCTTTGGTTCTTATATTTATTTATTTTTAACTAATCCCATATTATTGTGTTGCTAGAATGTTAAAACCTATCACACCGTGATGTCTCGACATCCTTCCGTTATATTTCCACTAGTTCTGCTATATAAGTTGATTTAAGTATTTACGGAGGTAATTCATATGAACCCATAGCTGCTTAACTAACATTCAGGTGACTGAAAATCTAACAAATGTTCAATAAATGGAGCCCTTTCATTTTGTTATTAAGGATTTTCTACTTCGCTGCTGGAAAATCCTCAAGCCTTTAAACTGATTAAATCTATTCATATTCCTTGCTGCATTTTTGGTTGACTACTACATCTGATATGTGGCCTGGAATATCTGATTAAAGTATTTTGGACAGAATTTTTGGTATTTATTTTCTCAAGTTAGTCACGAGATATTTGGGCTACAGCAGTAGTTAGGTTGCCTCCATTAAGTCCTCAAGGTCACGGCTTGAGAGATGGAAACAATCTCTCTTAAATATTGGGATAAGGTTGCATACATCAATCCATCCTCAGAATTTGCATTGGCATGAGCTTCATGCATCGTGTACCATTTTTTTTCTTGGAGATGACAACGTATATTATTGTGTGACTATTGACCGGATCTTCTTCAGTGGGCAGCATTTTTGGACTCTGAAGGCAGAATTAATGATTCTAATGATCTAAAGAAGCGAATATTCTATGGAGGAATCAAATCTAATCTGAGAAAAGAGGTTTGTATTATATAGTTCAGATTTATATAGATGTGATATAACTACTCCGTCTTTATTACTATCATTTGATGGTTGCATGATTTTAAATTCTGTACAGGTCTGGAAATTTTTGTTGGGATACCACTTGTATGATTCTACATATGCAGAGAGGGAATATCTTACTTCAGCTAAGAAGTCTGAGTATGAGTGCTTAAAATCCCAGTGGCAGGTCCTGCTTTATACTGTCATTTCTCTTTTTTTAGTGGTGATCATTTTCAAATGAACCCCATTGCATACTTCATCATTTGTTGTGGGGTACAATAGTGTTTCTAGCATGTTTCAAATTCATTATCCTTCAATGTTGCTGTAAATAGAGTCTAGAACGAGTTTGCATCTTATTTACAGTCCTGTTTCATATCTTCTGAGTTTTTTTTTTATTAAGCTTCTTTTCATGGCAATGTAAGAAGAAAATTACTCTGGCATCTATACTGCGTTAATAGAAGTTTCAGTAATGTGAGTGAAAAGTTTCAGATCTTAGTAGTGCATGCAGTTGGAGAGCAAGAAATCTGGCAGTGGGTGACTTCTGATGGAACGTGAAAGACAACAAGAGTAGTTTTAGTTGGTTTTGCCTGTACGTAGCTATGTTGGGGAAAGGCAACAATAACAGGGTAGAGGGGCCGTCAAAATTAGAAGAAGAGAAGGTAGGGGCTATTGAGTCAGGCAACTTAGAGGTAGAGGGAGGCGTGGAATGATTGAAGGCTTGAAGTTGTTTTTTTGTTAGCTAAAATGCATAAATTTGAACTTAGATAACCTTTATATGTTTTTTTCTCAATAAAAATAATAAACAACCCTTCAATAAACATAAAAATGTTAATCTATTCTTAATCGGCTAAAGACTGATAATATGACAACAGAAAAACATCCACAGACATGAGGTAAATGACAACCTCAAGAAGTTGCAAATTAACCATTGATGAATTTGAGCCATGATAGAGAGTATAAGATTGACACTTGATAAGAACTGAATAAACTCTAAGCCGTGGAGTTTCCATCACATTGTAATGAATTTTACTTTACTAGCTTCTGCATCTCAATATAGGTAGTGCAGAAGTCATACCTAGGATTATCTTTTCAACATGTGTATAAAGTATGGCATTGATATCAAATTGCTTTTCCTATATTTATGAACAAAGAAGATGTTCGGTATCATGAAAATTATAGAGAAGTACTTATTTAGACAATGAAGGTATGAGTGAGGATAATGAAATATAGGCTTTGAAAAACCATTCTGGTATGGGAAAATCGATTTGATTTTCTAAGAAGGCTCATTATTTGAATTTCTTAAAAGTTTTAACAGTCAAATTTTAAGAATATGTGAGTTATTATGTAGCAGAAGAGTATAGTTGAGGATATTTCATCAATATAAAGTTGGGTGGTTAAAATAGAAAGATGTCTCTGAAGAAGAATTATATGATAGATGTAGACTATGGAGACTTTAATGCAAACTTTTTAAAACGGAATTTAGATTGATTATGCTATTTGGATCCAAGATTGGATAATAACGAAATCACTAATAGCCAAATTAAGTTTAGTGGCAATCAAAATTTTAAGTTGGACTTGGAATTGAGAAATGATTATTAATAGGATGGTGGGAGAAGCACTTATTGAAGAGAAGCTATTGAAAAATAAAGTGATTTAGGCATATACAATAGAGGGGAAAAGATTTATCAATAATATGATAGATAAAAAAGTGTTAGAAAGGAGAAGAACCAAACAATGGGCAACATGGTTAGGAATTTTGCAAGAAGATTTTCTTAAAATAGAATCACATGATGCAACACAATTGGAATGAATGGAATATAAAGATTCATAGACCGAGCCTAAATAGTTGGAATTAAAGTAATGAGAATGTTGTGGTGACCGTTTACTTTTTATTTATATGGAAAAATATCAGGGAAATTTTATATCAAATTTTTTTATCACATGCAATGATTATTTTAGAGTTTGTAGTTAAAATGACTTCTTAGATGGTCTGAAATACTCCCTATGAGCTTTGCATAAATACAAAGCTTTTTAATTAATTAGTTTTAGGTAAGAATGGCTTAGCAATTAATGCTTCCTCAAAATGATTACTCTCAATGAAATGCTGCTGTATTGCAGATTTTAAGACGCTCAGTTATGATCTCAAAATTTGGTGCTTTGCAAATGATCTTGAACTTCCAACTTATGCCTGCCCTCTGATTGAGTTACATATTTGATGTATATATTATGCGAAGCTATGTTGATAATAAAATATGTAAAATAGGGATGTTAGCAATGCCATAACTGAATATGTTCCCATTAGGTGTTTTGACATTCAAAAATATAACCCATTTTTCACACTTTCTGACTAAAATCGGCAGCTGTAGGGTTCTTATTTTAATCTACATAGTTCTTTAAAAGCTTAACAAATTTATTTTTCTTATCAGGATGATTTCTTTTTCTTCTGCATGTATTATTATATAAAGAAAGCACATCAATATTGCATGTAATTCTACACATCTAGTCAATGATGGGTTTTTAGTTTTTGTTTGGTATGGCAATTGTTTCCCATTAGGTGTTGTGCACATGGTGGATGGAAGTTTGTTTGCTGACGAACAACCTAGAGCTTTCAACTTGTGCCTATCTACTGATTTATTGTGTATATTATGCCAAGCAATATAGATGGAACAATATGCAACAAATATATGTATATAATGTTCAGAATAAGTTAAACTAGAACCCATTAAAAACCTTCTCCTACTAAAACTTTGATAAGGGATCTTATTTTGAATTTTTAATCATCTCACTTTCTGAAAGCAATGCCAATTATTTTTCCTTTAAGGAAGACTAAACATGATTTTAAAAAAAATACACAATGGTTTTTTTTTTTCTATATGCGTTGCTCGTTTTCCTTCTGCCAGTAGTATTGTCATGCCTCTAAATCACATCAATACTGAACGCAATTCTCCAATAAGTTAATGCGGGTCATTAATTATATCCAAGTTTGCATCATTTTATCTGCATTTATCATCTGCTGCTCTGTTTACACCGTTGAAAATCATTTTGAAGATGGCTTTGATTATTGTAGCAATTGCTAATATATTAATATCTGATTGTCAGCATGGAAATATGTAATTGATTTAACCTTATCAAAGCGCATTTCTAGTTTGGCTGTTGCATCTATTATCTTTATACATCGTGCAGAGTATCTCAACGACCCAAGCCAAGAGATTTAGCAAGTTTAGAGAAAGAAGGGGACTTATTGAAAAGGACGTGGTAATGAGGAACTATATTATTTTGTTATTTCATTCTTTTCAAGATTTGGCGTCTCTAAATTATTTTTATTAACTGTTTCAAATATTTTATTTTACTGATTTTACTTTCTTCATTTTTCAAGGTTAGAACAGACAGATCTGTCGCATATTATGATGGAGATGATAATCCACATGTGAAGCTTCTACATGATATATTGCTGACATACTCATTTTATAATTTTGATTTAGGTTATTGTCAGGTGAGTTGGAAATCTGCATCATTGATCTATTTTGTGATGAAAATATTGATTTTTAAGAGCATGATCCTATGGAGGGTTAATCTTTATTACTTCCCAACTTGGGTTCGCTTTGCAATCCACTGTGTTTTTTGGCAGATTAAAAAAGTTGTGCTGGATGATTCACCAAATGAATTTGTCCATTGTGATCCTATTACAAAATTGTTAATTTACTAAAATGTTAATGATGCAAAATATTGGTTAAAACATTTCGTTGGGAGTCTTGCTGGTGGAAAGACACAATTATCGGCAATTCTGTAACAGGAACTAGTGGTACTTGTGAATGTCTTATGAGGTTTTTCTAGGTGCAGACTATAATACGGGAGGTAAAAAGGAAAAAAAATATTGAAAACGTTGACCCTAATCTTCAGTTCAAAGATTAACCCTGAGTTTTAGACTTGCTTGAGTGTATCTGTAACTATGCCTCAAATAGAGCCAATAATTGCTTCTTGCAACTAGGAACCTGGATTCATAGACTTTTTTACCCTTATTTATTTATTTATTTTTTACCACTTTTTGTTTTAATTTTGTGTTAAGCTTCCCTTTTGCCGTTATGGAGGGCTTTTATTTTTTCTCTGCTAGTTCACAATGACTCACGAAGCTGATAAGCTGCAGCTCACAGGTGTAGCTCGGTTATTGCATATATTTTTTCCTTTTGTTTCCTCCTAATGATCTTACTGTCCCTTCTCTTGTTTTCCCCCTTTTCTGTACAAAGTTTATCTTGTCAACGCCATATTCAGCGATTAAACCTTGAACCTTTCTCATGTTTATCATCTATTCTTCTTCTATTCCATCTACTACATCTGAGGCTATTTATTGTTCTCCTTTCTTAAAGGTCTTTCACAAATTGGTTATAAATTTTCTGATAGAATTAAACATTCTTTTTCTGCAAGTAGCTTCCAAGAGTAATTATGTTAGTATTAGTTTATACTATTGTTAAATAAAATCTAAACCTCATTTTCTCTGCATTTACAAATTGAGCACCTCATGAATTTATACTCTGATTCATTAGCGAAAAGTACATATGGGTGGGTTTGATTGCTGTTGCATCATTTCATTTCCTTCAAAATAACAAAACTTGAGACTCATTCAAAATCAACTTGAATCAATTTAAAGCTCCAGTTCAAACTTGAAATAGATTTTTAGATTGCTCCAAATAGATCAAATATCTCGAATCTACTTGAAATCTGGTTTGAAATACATATTCATATACTACAACAACAATAACAAGCCTTTATCCCACTACGTGGGGTCGGCTACATGAATCTTTTTTCTCCATTGTGTCCTATTAAAGGTTTCTTAAAGGATTCATGTCATTATTATATATATATATATATATATAGCATGAGATTTATATTAGTAGATATAGGTAATTAAAAATAAATTTTAAATCAAACTTGATATAAGTGAATAGTTTTGAGTCAAGTCAATACAAATTTTAATTTTGGGTCGGGCTAAAATTTTTTGAACTCAATTAGATATCAATGCTAGATGCATACATGCAAACATAACAAAACATAATGCAATACTTTCTCCTAAAAACACACACATTGACACAGTGTTTTTGGTGTTTTAAATGCAATCTTGATTTTGTTTAGTTGAAAAGTTACCATCTATATTTGTTGCTTCTACGAGTTGTTTAAATAAATTGCTAGTTGATTACTGCTCAATGACCATCTTAGAAAAGATAAAAGGATCAAAATAGTCCTTTGACTCTTTATTGTAGATTAAAATAATTTTCTAACTATATTGAAAGATTATTTTGGTCTCTTAGTTCTTTAAAAAGGAACTAAATTAATCCCTTCATGGAATTATTTTGGTTCCTTTTTAAGGACTTAAGGCACCAAAAATGTCATTTAGTATAGTTTAGGATTATTTTGATCCTTCATAAAGAGTTAAGGGACCATTTTGGTCCTTTTCCCATTAAAATTTGCATAACTTGTAATTTGTATTTAGTTTCCACATGCCTATCTGTATTATAGATTTAATGTGTTTTGTTGAAACCGTACATGTATCTATGTTAACTCCAGAATTGATTTGGCTTAGAAAACAGTATAGTTTGGCCTTCATTGACCTGAGGTATATAAATAATTATATGTTATCTAGATGCGGAGCAGGTCACTATCACTTATAGTTTACGTTCTACATTTATGCTTATTTATACATCTAAAGGAACTGGCTTGGCTTTATGAGGATACCAAAATATCCATGAAGGGTATTAACTTTTTAAGCTCTGATTTGGTTTCCCGGTAAACTGATGCTATCATATGATTTATCCAAACTTGCTCTTTGTATATGTGAAAGATACCGCTCAACCATTTTGATATATTTATAATTTCCTCAATTTTTCTACAGAAGCATAAGCACTAAAAAGTGATGTTCAACTTTAAGATAAAGAGGCATAAAATAAAAAATAAAGTAAAACGATTTTCTAGGATTAGATGGGGGGATTTAAAGAGTATTAACAAAAATATTTTTGGAAATAAGATTTTAGATCTTAAGATTTTGTTTGTGCATGAGGATGCTAATATTATGTGGGAAAAAGTGGCTAGTGATATTAAGAATATTGTAAAAGATGTCCTTGGAGTATCAAAGGGAAAAGCTCCTTATAGTAAAAATAGTTGGTGGTGGAATCCAAATGTGCAAGAAAAGATTAGAATATAATGGGATTCCTCTTAAGTGATCATGATTTCTTTTATTTTCATGTAAATATAAGCTGAATTGTTTACCTCAAATTATTTAACCTTTTTTCTGGCTACAGGGAATGAGTGATCTTTTATCACCCATATTGTTTGTGATAGAGGACGAGTCAGAATCGTTCTGGTGTTTTGTCGCGCTGATGGAACGCCTAGGGCCAAACTTCAACCGTGACCAAAGTGGCATGCACTCCCAACTTTTTGCCCTGTCTAAGGTATTCATGGCTATTCTCGGTCATTAATATGATTCTTAGGAGCCCAGAAGTAATCTGGTTGTCCTGTGCTTTTCTTCTATATACACCTAATATTCTGTGGCTTTGCAATTGCTACTTCAAAGAAGAACATTTTGTCCTATCTTTGCACTTCTTCTTTTCAACTTTCATTTATGTTGCCATCCAACCATGTCTAAAGTTGATATTACAACATTACCGATGATGATTCCTTTATTGTTATTTCCAGTGTAGGAATGCGGTGCAGCATTTGTTAGTTTGTTTTTCTATTTTTTTATGCTAGATGGTCAAATCTTGTATGTATAACTTGGGATTTTGTTTGCAAGGAGAATGAAGGTAATCTGGTGAATGGTTAATGATTTCTGTGCATGCTATTTTGGTGTGAAGGCAATGGAATTTGTTGATTTATTGATTTTAGAAAATACTCAAGAAAATTTGTGAAAGATATGCCAACTAAGAGTACCAACAATAAAGGGGTCGAAGCTACATTTTTTAACTTTGCGAGTTATGTATGGCTTTTATATAACTCCATACTGGAATAACAACAATAAGGAAGTTCAGAGCACATAAAAAATTGCCATTATCACGTTCATAACTATTAGGCTATGTTTGAATGTGAGAAAGAAGCTTTATGATGCTATTGAAATTTTAGTACTTCGTGATTCGCAAATTAACATTTTAAAGGGAAATTTTTTATTCTAGAACGGATAGTAAGTTTTTGGGTGGATCAGCTTTTTGGTTGTTGTAACTCGTCTCTTAAGTCTTAACCTTATTAAAGTGTCTTTGGCAAAATGTGTAGTTATGTTTATCTACTTATATGGATGTTATAAAATGACCAAAATATTTTCTCTTTTTATTATTTCATACAGCAATATTGATTTTCTTACTCATTCCATAAAATTTAACTTTTGAATAGTTTTTTACAACTTTGTTTTGCAATATTTTGAAATTATTGTAGTCAGTCCTTTACTCTGTTACACTTGTTGGAAATCAATCAGGTTCATAAGGTCATGGCTGTGAATTGTTCCAGACTTGTGAGATGAAGATCAAGAAGAGGGAGAAAATAAAGAATACACTTGTACTGTGATAATACCTCAATCCCAAAATCATAGTTATGAAGGAAAGAGAAAATAAGGAAAGAATGAATGTATAGGGATTGAGGCCTAACAAATTTGAGATTTGTCAAAATCTCAGTCATCCCTTGGCATTTGATCCCACGGTCAGGATGAGAATCCATGGGAGGCTCACCTGGATCACGCCAATATCCTTCTATATTTGGGTAGCTGAATTAAGAAGGATTATATTGAGGCAATTATGTATCAATTAGAAGTTATTTATTTCTTTATTAAGACATCTTGTATAGATCTATAAATAGGGATAATTTTGTATAATAAGTAGAAGGTATTTTTACCATTTTCAAATTCTATGAATTCTAACATGGTATCAGAGACACGATTTGTTGCCAATTCTTTGTAAAAGGAAGCCGGCCTTCATTGCCGCTCCTATTGCCGGATCGACGAAGAAAATAGGTCTGTCTTCATTTGTCGCTGAAGAACGTTCCTTTCAGTTCCTCGTGTGTACGAAAAAGCAAGAGGCGAAGAAAGGACTTTTTTCCGACGCCACCAGACGCGAGAAGATTCGCGGAAGAAGCCGAATGACGGAGCCAGGAACGGAGGAAGAAAAGAAGGAGAAGAGGAGAGGCGGAGCCTTGCTGACGCTACCAACCAGAAATGCCGGAAGGGACGAGCGACTCGATCGGAACTTCCGATAGGAACTTCAGAACTATCGTCGAAGGAGCCTTGACGAACATCCACGAAGGAGACGAAGGAAATGAAGGAGCAGAAGTGTCGTACCCGTTCGGAACCGTCCGTGCGGAAGACGAAGCTGATCGGAAGCCCGATCCAATCGCCGGACACCTGCGACTCGCTGGACGAAGCCACCTATCCGACTCGCGGGAGGAAGTCACTGCTACTCATGGGACCAAGCTTGTGATCAGCACGCCTACGTGTGACTTGGGAGACAGACACCGCCTTCTACCATTCAGAAGGCTCGCACGCAAGATTCGCACATCCGGAAACCTCGTATGGAGGAATCAATCGAAATCGGAAGCTTCGTCTGGAGGCTCGCTCACATGGACTTGCTCTTGCGACTAAAGGGACGGAACCTTGCCCGTGCCTAGCTTGCCCCGATCCGAGCCTTAAAATCAAGACTGGGCTGGTTCGGTTTAATAAACCGAGAAAGCCTTAATTAGTGAAAACAAAAACCAGCCTTCATCACTGATATAAAATTGGCCTTTATTGTCGTAACTTAAGATCAAAGGGATCTTATTTTGGAAGCCTTCATTGCTGTCCAAAATCCAATAGACAGTCTTCATTACTATAAAAAATTATCGAACCTTTGAATAATATTGATTCTTTTTCCGGCCTTCATTGTCGGAATCGCCTGGGATATACGAATCAAAGAAAGCAGAGAGGAGAAAGCGGCCTTCATTGTCGTATGAGTCGTGCGGTCCAAACAGCTCGTGCCCTCTATTTTGTGCAAGCTTCCTTCATTGCCGTAGGACATCGAACGAGAGTCGAGTAAGTCCAAACCGCTCATGCCCTCTGTTTTGTGGTTGTGGCCTTCATTGCCAGAATTTGGAGAAATATTAGTCCTTCTCCCGGCTTTTATTGCCGGAATTATGAAAAAAAATACAGGTTCCTATCATCGGCCTTCATTGCCAGAATGTTGAGGAATACTAGTTTCCACAATCGGCCTTCATTGCCGGCTTTCTCGGGTGGTTGATATCCTATCCATAACCA